GAGAGAGAGAGAGAGAGAGAAAGAGAGAGAGAGAGGGAGGGGAGTTTTTGTATGATATTAGTATGCAAAATATTGTGAGTTATGCTAATTGCATCTCGTCATATGTTTTAAAACTTGACCTTGTCTTCTCTGTAAGTTAAAACGCCAGATCAGACAAATCAGTTGACACCATGTTAACAAGCAAACATCAGAGAGGAAAGAAAGAGAGGAGACGGTTGCTCCGACTTCGAAGACAAAAAAGTAAAGTAAGGCCTACTTAAATTTTCCGCCAAAATTCTATCCCTTTCAGCAGACACATACGCACATCAGTATGTGCCCAGCAAATTACATGTACTTACTTTCAATTTTTACACGAGCCTCTGCGATTTCAGCTTCGTTGTAGGTTCTTATAAAGACTTCCATGTCATCATTGTACTCTCAGTTCACGTTGTATATTATCTATTGTAACTTAAAGTGATAAACAAACACGACAATCAACGTCTGTCTTACCCTGGTAACCTCAGCGAAAACGATTCCCCAAGCAGGTTGCACGGCGCCGTTTATAAAACCAGCAACGCAGCCAATGAGGATGCAGTACCATTCTGGGGCGTTCATCTTCAAAAGACGTATTACTGGCTCCTGTAAGACTGGGTATACCTCAGGGGCCTCTTCTGACTGAAATAGAATTCAGACCAATGTATCAGTGTCTATTTTCAATGAAATACCTTCTTGTGTTATTAAATTCGTCGCTTCATCTGTGTTCTTCCCATTTGTGTTTTTATGTCTGTCTTTATCTCCCATAACGTTTCCTTTTTCTATCTTCCTTGCTTACATCCTCCTTCTCCTATTCCTCCTCTTCCCTCCCCCCCATCTTTCCCCTCCTCCTTATTGTTATAGATGCTAGCTTTTTAAAAACGTACGCGGCAAAGTATAACTAAAAAGACGGCGATTTGATGTCTAATGGGAAATGTTTTGGGGTTTCTTTTTGATTGTTTCTTCTTTGCTTTGAAATCGAGCTCAAAGACTGTAACTGTATAACTGAAAAGTGCGGGCAGATTGTTGAATAAGGAGGTTTTTCACAGGACATGAAGCTCGAGATCTTGTGTACTTCACGTAGCCAAAGAGTTATCTTGTTTTGTTTTGTTTTTGTTCTTGTTTTTGTGCATGTTTTTTTAGAAATGGGGGCGGAGGGGGGGGGGTATAGATCTTTCCAATCACACGGTTTGCTCTATTGAGATAATTGGGAAGAGATAGACGAACTCTACCAACCTATGCAAAGGCCTATTTTGGTCTCACCTCATGCACCAAGATATTACTGTTGTGGTCAGCGAGCTTTTGTGCCATTTTCTTCTTTCGTTCAGCCACATCCTTATAGAAGGTTCCGTCGCTTTCGCTGTCTGTGGTTCCCTCATCTGTGGGAGGTTCACATGTCACCTAACTTTAGGTATTATGTCCCTTTTGTTAACACAGAACATTTTTAAAAATTTAACCCCCCCCCAAAAAAAAAATAATAAATAAATAAATAAATAAATAAATGGTGTAATAAAAGAGATTTCAGTCTGCAGACTATGGAAACACCAATACTTTTAATACCAGTAAAAATCAAATTAACAGATGTAAAGAAAACATTCTTAAGAATTTGCTTAGTGGCTAGCCTATATGCATAGACAAACTTTAAATAAATCAAATGTGTCTAAAACATTGCAAGCATAACGACATGCTGAACGTTAGTAAGGTCACCAAGTCTTGCTCAAGGACACGCGGGGGGTGGGGGGGACCAATCAAAGGAACTCGCATGTTTGGTGTTATTTGGAGAACCTTTTTTTCGTCACCATTAACCTTCAAAGGTTCTGCCGTATTCGTCTGCATGTAGTGTATGTTGTGAGCTATTGGGGAAGTCCCATCATAAAAGTCAATGAGGTTTGTAGCCACTGCAACCGTACTGACATCGCTGTGTCTTTTTGTACGTTTGTTGTTACCACTGCAATGATATCATTATTTTGTTCTGTTTTCCTTGCTTTTTCTTTCACCGTTGATGGCGACAGTAATGATGCTATTTATTTAGCTGACAGTGAATTTGGAGGAAATTGCTGTTGAAACCGATTCCACTGTTTGCATAACAATATGGCTTCGGGTTATGGCAGATGATACTGTTCTCTTGCGTATGGCTTTTTTTTTTCAGAGTAATCTAAAATCATCCCAAGCTTAGTTGTAGTTGGGATACCGGTCCAATGGAAGTACAAACAACGTTCTATTTTGGGCGCGTGAGTGGATATACTTTTCTGTCACATGGTGAATGTATTTCGTTAATCATAATAGTGGCGATAACGACGAAGAGGAGAACAGGGGAGGGGGTGGGCTTGGTAAGAGAACGGCGATGACAGCGATGATGAATGAGGTGGTGATGGAAATGGTCTTGAGGACCAAGTACTCACATTTTTGCATCTTCAGCGTCCGGACACCATTTAATGTTGAGAAGGGAGGAAAAAAAGAAATTTCAAATAATTTAGACAAGATATAATGCACATTCAGATTAAAAGAGAGTACCGACAAACTGATTCCACGTAGTAGGTAATTAAGGAAACTGGTAACAATAAACATATGAAAACAATAGGACATGTTTCTAGTCTTCCATGCATTCTGGCTTGGCCCTTGACAGGCAGAGTCTAAGCTGACATACGGGCACATAATCTACATTGTGTCTGTGGGCTCGAAACAAAGTAGAAATTCAGTTAAAGTCACAATTGCAGTTCGCAAATTCAATGATTAACAAGTACACACATTCATTGCAACCCAGTATCACGAACCAAAGTAGCCTAGACAGCTATTGGGATTTGACAGTCACTCTTCGAGGATTAAGCTTGTAGTCTGTCAGTATGCTTGCTGTTCTGTCAGTCTACCAAATTATTTTGTATTGTAAGTGCAAAGCAGTCAACCTATCTATCTATCTATCTATCTATCTATCTATCTATCTATCTATCTATCTATCTATCCATTTTGTACCTTTAAAAAAATTGTATCTATGAAAACAACAATAATTTGATACAATATAAAGGAATCTGGTTAATTAATTACCAGCCAGAAAAAGAGGAAATGGTGGTGGGGCATTGGGGATAGGAAAATACTAACACAATTTATTTAAATGGTTTGAGCGATTTTCACCTGTTCTGATGCCAAGTGATAATAGATGCCTTTCTTTGCCATCAGCTCGTCATGGGTGCCTTGTTCTGCCACTCGACCTTTCTCAAATGTCACAATGACGTCAGCATTTCGGACCGTGGACAGACGATGGGCTATCAGGAGAGTTGTCCTCCCTTCTCGAGCCTGTAGAAACAATAGAAAGGGGGTGGGTTCAATGTAATTGTAATTTTTAGACCCCTGTAGATAAAATTTAGATAGCTTAGAAGGCGGAATTCTTTAATCTTGCCTGCCAGGGGCAACACGGCTGAACGGGATCCCAGCAGACAGAGACGCAAAATTGTCCACTCGGGAATCGAAATCCACGATCCGTGTGAGCAACATGGAAGAAGCTAACCGTTACACCACAGGTTGCAGGTAACGTAATGACAGGAATGCTCCCCTACCCAAGCTTTATTCGAGCCTTGTCATTCAAAGTTAACTTTAAAAATTTCACTTTAGATTTCACGCTTGAATTTGCAATTTGTTGACTGTGCCCAGAAAATAACACAGAAGAGACAAATATGTTTTGTTGCTCTCTGTTACCATGGCTCAGTCTAATTGGAGATTAACGCTAAATCGGAGACATGCCTTTAAAACCACTATACTGGGTTGAAAGGGCGTTAAACTCCCCGCTTACTGTATCATACAATACGAAGCTATATTATACAGCACTGTTACATATCACATAAAGTGATACAGGAAAAGGCTGAAACACTGATAGATCGTTTAGATAATTTAAGCACGGACGATCAAATCGAAAGAATTACTCAGTTTCCTAATTCAACCATAACCTAACATGGTATTGCTATAAAAACTGAAAATAAAAACACTCATATTTTTGAACAGCGTGTTTTTATTTACTGGTTGCTACTTATAATCGGGGGAGAATTGGAAGTCTATGTGTTGTGCTTTTAAAACGACCAACAGTGAATCTAGAGGTGAGTAACCGTCAATACAAGCAAACAAGCAACATATTTTAAATAACAATTTAAAATTGTCTTTCGTGCATGACATCAAAGCTACCTCAGTGTTGGTCCCACAGATAATGGAGATCTTGGATGTGCGTAGTAGGTCAAGTAAGTTCCGAATGGAGGGCTAGAGTAGACATTCACCAACAAAAGTACGCATTATTATTATCTACTCACTTTATCTAGAGCAATCTGCACAACCGCCTCGCTCTCTGCATCTAGCGCGGACGTGGCTTCGTCAAGCAACAAGATTTTGGGATTCTTCACCAGGGCTCGAGCAATGGCCAGCCGCTGCTTCTGACCACCACTAAGCTGTGCGCCTCTCTCCCCAACATGAGTGTCAAATTTCTGAGGAAAGGGATAAAGGAGAATGTAGTGGTTAGAATAGCCTCATACATGAGTTTAAAAGTAAAACGCCAAAGGCAAAAACACGTTATGTTGAATAAATAGAGTAAACTTCAAAAACACATGTCTATTGTGAAAAGGTTTATTATGGAGACAATGCCACAGTACTCATGGCTCAGTGTGAAGTGCACAGTCAAATATGAAGTAGAATCTGAGTCCTTGGAGAGCTTGTGTATCTGTTCCCTTCTTGTCCAGACAAATACCCTCTTTGTTGAACAAACATGTTCAGGTACAAACAACGAGGACTGAAAAGTAGAAACCCCTACTATGCATTAAACATGCTCTAAGCAATAGCAAGCACGTGATTTGCATTACGTCAAAGAGTAAGAGATAAAAGCAAAAATGTTAATTCCCTCTAGCCTAGTGGAAATAATACATTTCCTCACATTGTTTGTTCAATTGTTTGAAGGCAATCAAGATTGCAAATGTTTGTAAATAGGTGTCTCTTGTCACTTTGCATGACTTCTATAGATTACATCTGAATTTCTCTGGAATGAAAAATGTAAGCTTATTTGTGAGTCTTCCTGACATAAAAGCTATACGTAGCTATTTTTAATAAATGAACCAAAAAAGATGACATTTCAAAATTGTCACGATCTTAAGAGTTCTTACGTTAGGCATCTTCATGATGAAGTCGAAGGCGTTGGCCTTCTTGGCTGCCTCTATGATCTCCTCCATGGTGGCGTCCTCCCGCCCGTACCGGATGTTCTCCGAGATGGAGGTGGCGAACAGAACCGGCTCCTGGCTCACCATGCCCAGGTGCTGACGCAACCACCGGATGTTGATGTCACGAACATCCACGCCATCGATACACACCTATGGGTTGGTGGGGTTGGTTGGGAGATAGTTTATTTTTTCATGGCTATTGCTTACAAGGACAAGGGGGGAAAGAGGGAAAAGAAGGAAAAGGGGGGGGGGGGGGTCTGTTCCACTTGATTCGATTGATCGTGTTAAAAAATGGACAATGTGTTCATTTGTTTGTTCAGCCGTCTCTAATAATTACCTTGCCGTGTTGAAAAGGGTCTTAAAGGATATATTTCATTTCACAGCCCGATCCTAAAAACTGTGCTGTCTAAGATGTAACCTTTCATCCTCCTGTGATCGACGGTTTCAAGCATATCATAAATTAGTTCTCAGAGTGACGTAAGATATTAGTGAGTTTATCAAATAGGAGTTAGTCCAGATTAAAGTGTGACAGCAAAAATATGAATATCAATAATCACCATATCACTTTCCTGCTATCTCCTTCCCACCACACTGATATTTCTCATGAGTAACAAAAATTTTCTTATAAAATTGGGCCCTCCCATCTCCAAAAGATGAACCCTTACACCTTGAGAAGATGAACCCTCCCATCCCCAGAAGATGAACGCCTTCAGAAAATACCTCTCCCTGGTCCGGATCGTAGAAGCGGAGCAACAGCTGCATCACAGTGCTCTTGCCACAGCCGCTGGGACCCACAAGGGCCACTGTTTGACCCGGCTTGACGATCAGGTCAAGGCCACGTAGAACCTGCCAAGAACAAGGAAGAGAAAGGGAAATGGATGACATTGTTTTAAAATACTGTCGAAATTGTCGAAGACGGTCACCAATTGTCCAAGAAAAAGTGGTTAAGTTATCTTAGCCAGGTGGGCTTTTTGGACGGTGTAATTATAAACAATTTTAAAAACAAAGGGGTAGTGGTTCCTTGTACGTGTAGTTGGGCCAGTTAGAGCAGGTGCGATTGTACTTCAATTTTTTTTATTATTCCGTTCGAAGTCTACTCGTATTTTCGACACAGCTAGGGTAAGCAAGAGACATCTCCTGCGTTGGTTTTTTCGTCTAAAGCTCGAGCATACTAGGAAATTAATTTCCACTCGTAGCACAGCTGCATAGCTTAATATAACTGTGTGTATGTGGAATCGTGGCGAAATCAGGCACTCGTCGGAATAACCAAATCGAAGAAACCGATATTTTTTCCCTCGCTTGCCAATTTTGATTTGATATTTAATTACCTTTTTTTCAACATTTTTATGTCCCTTTGAAAATACATGTCTGATGTCTGTCTGGATTTTTACTGAAAACCCTTGCTCAAAAGCACCAAGCATGTAAAAGTGTTGTTGAATCTGCAGGTCACCAAATTTTAGTGGCCATTTTCTCGTTTATGTTTCATCTGACACCAGGTGACCTCCATCACGTTTAAAATACATCCACTTCCATTAAGGATAGATTGGCACTATTTCATCAAAAGCAAGACAAATAAATAAGCTTTAACAATATATCAATACTTGTAACTCCATAGACCCAAAAGTCGACAAGCGCTTGATTACTCTGTGTCGCTACAAACACACACACACACACACACACACACACACACACACACACACACACACACACACACACACACAAACACACACTAACACACCCATACGCTCTCACACACACACACACACACACACACACACACACACACACACACACACACACACACACACAAACACGCATAATATATATTATACATATACCTATATATATGTTTATATATATGTATTACGTAATGTAAGGTAATGTGATGATGATAAATCATAAAGGAGTTCTCATGCACCTGTGCCTTTTCCTTCAAAGTACTTCAGCTGTGACAATTATTGCATATTAATCTAAATGTATTCATGTGAGGAATCGATTCAGACAGATCAAATTTTATCCACAGTGAGATCTTTGAATTATATTATCTTATACCGTATATCCATTGGCAGGATCGGATCAGGACAAGCCGGACTTTTTAAATGACGGTTTCAATGCACTCTGCTAATAAATCTCTGCTTTACTTTATTAAAACTTTGACCTCTGATGACCGATACATTTGGTGCATACGTTGTGGCACCGCGTGGTGTTGTAGCACACAAAACTTACCGTTCACACCATCGCCACTACCTTCAATAATGGTTTCAAGTGCCAACTGCCGGATATGAGATACTGTTGATGGTTGTTCTTTTAAATCCCACACACACGGAATATTGTGATAGCTGTTTATGAGCCGCTTCCAAAAAACAACAACCAACCCCTCCCCCTTACACACATACACACACACACACACACACACACACACACACACACACACACACACACACACACACACACACACACACACGCGCAAAACCCGCTGCCTGGTATCGTATTCCACGCGCAAACAAGAGATCTTACCTTGACAGCGCTCATCATGCGGTTCGTAAGCTACAAGCCTTCTGATAGGCTGTTCTCACCCGACGGGTATGACCAATTCGATTCAGAACTAACATATCTGATTTAGCAGGATTCAGTCGAATTGAGCCACTTGGGTAGTTTTTGCCCTTCTATGGAGAAAAATCTTGCCGACTGTTTCAAATGAATTAAATGTATCAAATAGACAATGTGCCCATGGTATCACACGGGAGTAGGACTACACCATGCAAGGTGGTTGTTGTGCTTTAAAAAAATATTACACATTTTGCTAAACAAATTTATAACCGAAATGTATAAACGCGACTTTTTTTATATGCACGCAATTATAATGAAATGAGCTCGTTTGTTAGACCTTGTTACCTGAAAGCATGGGGTCGGGTCCGGGTAGATGTTAAAAGTGTTTGGTTTTTAAAAAACTTATTCCACACATAAATCATCTAACAATGCGCATGAAAAGAGAAAATCTTTGAAACATACTGAATTTCCTCATGAACTTATCTTTTAAAAACCTCTTGGTAGTGAAAATCTGAAGGTAACTCTGGTCCTCTTTTTCTTTCTTTTTTTAAAGTAAAGATGAAGCGTAACAAGGGTGCAGCAAATGTCACATCTTAATATGTGATCATAAATGGAGAGGCAAGTGGCATTTTTCTTAAAATCTAAAGTATATTATATGAGCAAGCATTTGTCATTATTGTAGGTCTGAAGAGACGAGTTGAACTCAAACTACTGAAGTTATGCAGCTTCCTATTACCTTCACCGAGGGTCTGGATGGGTAGTTGAAGTGGACCTTCTTGAAACGTATGGTGCCTGTCAGTGACGCCGGCTTCAGGCCCACGCGAGAAGCTCCATCAATCTGTGGCTCCTTTTCGGGAAACAGGTGAATACAATCAGAATAGGACGTGCAACAAGCCGCCCGTGTGACTTTAGTACAACCTAGAGGTTAGTGCATGGATCAATATGTACTGCTTTCCACCGCATACTACCTAGTCGTGATTAACTGACGACAGTCTTGCTGTCATTTCTTTGATGCTAAACAGAAATAAGAATGAAATTTTTAAAAATAAATCTGTTTAATCAATGCCATAAGGGAATGTGTGTTACAATGCCGTACACAAATACTGGTACATTAATTAAAACATAAATGCATGAACAGTACGTAAAATCCACTTACATAGACACTCTGTGCATCATTACTGGCTGCTACTGTGCAGCTCCCAAGTTTGGAGCTGGGATTATTGTGCGTTGCTCAAGAATCAGTGACCACCCCCCACCCCCCTAAACGCTGTGTCATTGACACACACTTGACATTAGTTTTTATCCGTCCAGCTTTGAATTTATATTACACAGCAGACGTTCACGTGACATTTTTAAAGTAGACTGGAAATAGGTACATTCTGGACTATTTCAAACGATACATAGCGATCAGAAGCTACAATTTTATAAAATTTTACATTCTAATCATGAAAATCTGGTTCCGTAATGCTCTTATGAATAATATTGAATGCTATCTTCGTTTCAATTTTGAGGCCTGAAGGATGAGTGGCTTCTTTTAAAAACATGCTCAAAGTTCGGGGCCACCAGCATTATAATAGATGCCTATGTGGTTTAAAGGAACAGAGCAAAAGTACAAATACTATGACTGTAAGGGACAAGGGGATTACAACCAGACATAGGTGCAATGACTGCAAAGTTCAAGGGACGTTGTAAGTATATTCGATTAAAATATTCAAAGCAATTGTTGCTGTTTTACACCCCCCCCCCCCTTTAACACAACTTATATCATTTAAGAAGCAGGCTGTTTCGTCCCTGTCTATGAGAGCCAGCCCAGGCTGATTAGGATACAAAGTCCCAGAAGAAGGACCGAGACACTCGATTTGAAAAAATCCTCACACAGGAATTCAACTCTCATCTTCTGAATGCAACAGCAAAGCGCCTAACCCCTATTACATCGCCAGATGCCGGTGATTACAAAAAGTCAAAGAAACGCGCGTATCAAGATTGGCGTCGCCTCGTAACCATGAGCCACATTCCAACAACAACAGCACATCTTTGGGGTGATCTGAATCTTTAGCTAAGTCACTGTACAGTTTACTTTTGAATTCTCTCCAAGCTCAAAATCTATTTACATTCCGCCTTCGAAATGTGCTTAGTTTTGTTTTGTTTTTTTTGTTTTTTTGGGGTGGGGGTGATTTTTGTTTGGTTTCTGCGGAGGGGGGTGGGGGAGAGGGGGTTTAATTTGATTGGTTTTGACACGCATACACACGTACAGAGATACACACACACATACACACACACACACACACATACACACACGCGCGCGCGCGCGCACGCACACACATTCACACATATACACTCATGACGTGTAGCCTATGAATTTTATGTCAGTGAGAACTACAGCACTGGGTCTCTCCAGTCATCAACCTGTTCACTGGTGTCAGTCTTTAAAATGTGGCTCCTTTTCAGGGGGCAGAGAACAACGTCAACAGATCCCGTTTTCAAAAGTTGTAAACATAATGGTGGTATACTGAGAATCAGTATACTCACCCTGTCGAGAACAACATAGACGTTGTAGGCTGATGACAGTCCGGTGCTTATCGTTTTCACGGACGTTGACGCCAGGCCGACAGAGACGTAAGCAATTAGAGATGCGAAGAACACCTGAAATAATAATCATCATCATACTAATAATAATAATAATAATAATAATAATAATAATAATAATAACAATAACAATAAT